TATATATATGATATTAATGTTTATCTTATATGACTCTTTCTCTCTAGCTTATTTGTCTTTTGGCATACAATTAATTTTAGTTCACTAATTATTTTATAGATTAAACCATATGGGGACTTTAGCTATGGAACACTTGGCATATATTAGATGCTTAATAAATCCATGAATGTTTATAGCAGCTTTATTGATAACTATCAAAAACTGGAAACAATCCAACTGTCCATCAGCTGGTAGGTGGATAAGTGTCGCACACCTATACAATGGGATACTATCCAACAATAAAATGGAATGAACTACTGATACACACAAAACATAGATGAATCTCAAATGCATTACATTCCTTGACAGAAGCCAGACCCAAAAGACTACATACCATGTGATTTTATTTATATAACATTCTGGAAAAGGCCAGGGACAAAGGGCTGATTATAAAGGGGCATGAGATTTTTGGAGGTGACAGAAGTGTTCTAGATCTTGATCACAGGGGTGGTTATATGACTGACGCATTTGTAAAAACTCATAGAACTGTACTCTAAAAGGGTGGAACTCTAAACTAACTTCAATGAACCTAACTTTTAAAAAAGCAGACTGTTAGGATTACTGAGTTGTGTTTAAAAACGAAATAAATTGTTCATACCTCATAGATAAATGGATCTTTATGGATTCCTTTCTTTTCTTCATCAAACTCCCTGAAATGAAGAACTACACATGAAAAACAGAGCTATAGTATTCTGACATTTAAATTCAGTAGTCACCACTTTACCTCTGTAGGACACCAGTGAGAAAAGCAAAGCGCAAAGTAGTCCTGGCAGCCCTAAGGCATGGCTGGGAAGAGGGGGAAAAAGCAGAAAAAGAATATGAGAAGGCACGCCTAGGTGGCTCAGCCGGTTAAGTGTCTGCCTTCGGCTCAGGTCATTATCCCAGGGTCCTGGGATCAAGTCCCCCATAGGGCTCCTTGCTCAGCGGGGAGCCTGCCTCTCCTTCTGTATGCCACTCCCCCTGCTTGTGTGCACGCACTCTCTCTCTCTCTGACAAATAAAATATTAAAAAAAAAAGAATATCAGAAAAAAAGAGATGTGGTAGAAATTAATAGAGACTGCTGCCCACAACTGGGCACAACAGCTTCCCAGAGGCAGCAGGAAATCAGGTTACCTACCTCTACTCTCATCTTCTAAAACACATCATCAGTTACTTTTAAGATGTAATTTACCATGTAACTTATGGAAAGTAAAAATCACTGGATTCTGTCTGCCACTGAATCAGTGGGTAACCACGAAAAAGTTATTTAAGGTTCCTAGTCCTAGATTTCTATGGCTAAAATAGAAACACCTATCCTCCCTCTATTTTTATGAGCTGTCACTAAAAACTTAGTAAATTTGATAACGTTAAACAACTTCCTTTTAAAAATGTAAGCACAAAACTCTCGGGTATCATTTAATAATTGTTTCATTCAAGAAAGTTCTAAAATAGTCATCCCAAAGCGATGTGAACTATAAACCATTAAACATACCAAAATGCACATCAGTCTGATATATACTCTGAAAGAGACACAGTCTTTAGAGACCTAAAGAAGCCCAACGGAGGCTCCCTGCTGAGCAAAGCCCCAAAGTGGGGCTCAATCCCAGGACCCTGGCATCATGACCTGATCAGACGCTTAACCGACTGAGCCACCCAGGCGCCCCACTAAAAGATTTTAACTGGGAAATACCTCTCTGACCATGGGATGGAGGGCATAACCTTGGAGGCCAGGAAAATAGCTGTGAATAAGTGACAATGGCCTGAACAAAAGCAGTAGAGATAGAGGGGTAACAAGGGCACCAGTGACTGATTTAGATGGAATGGGGGCCGGGGGGGGGGGCTGGAAAAGAGAAGTGAGAATCTTGGATTTGGAACTCTTAATTCAGAGTTGGGATTCAGAAGCAGAGTGTCAGGTTGCTTGGAAAAGATGAATTCGGTTTTGCAGATATTGAGTTTGAGGTCCCGTGGAAACTTCCAGTAGGCAACTGGATGCACAGGCATTGTGAAGGACTCAAGAGAAGTAAAAGAGACTTCTGTGCTTACAAGTAGAGAAAAAGACTAAGCTCTGTGAAATAATTGGGAATTATAAATAGGGTCTAAATAAAACTATCAATGGGGAACTGGTTAAATAAACATAAGACAGACATAGGATGAAATATTGCAAAGCAGTTAAAAACAATGAGATAGATCTATAAGGTGTCATACTAAAAGCCATCCAGGACATTAATAAAGAACCTAGTGCTCTGTCTATAATGTTCAAAAAATTGTCAAGCATTATTACTTTTTTTTTTAAGATTTTATTTATTTATTTGACAGAGAGAGAGCACAAGCAGGGCGAAGCGGCAGCCAGAGGGAGAAGGAGAAGCAGCCTCCCCTGCAGAGCCGGAAGCCCAATGAGAGGCTCTATCCCAAGACCCTGGGATCGTGACCTGAGTCAAAGGCAGATGCTTAACCGACTGAGCCACCCAGGCGCTACATTACTACTTTTATAAGAGAAAAAAAAGCAATAAAGATAAATAATGAAAAATTATGGCATTTAGAAAATTAGGGGTTAGATTACATCAGTGGTTCTCAAAGTGTGGTGTCAGCCAGCAGCAGATTTCACCTGGAATTTGTTAGAATTCTTTGGCCCCACCCAGACTTACTAAATCAGAAACCCTGGAAATGGGGCCCAGCAATCTTGTGTTTTGATAACACTCCAGGTGACTTGATGCAAGCTCAAATTTGAGAACTGCTGGATTAGATTTTAAAGTTGGATGCAGAACTAGATGGAATCCCCTTTTGTACTAGCACTCCACTTTAAGAACAAAGTCTTAGAGCACAATGAAATAAAGGTACTTTAAAAACCCAACACACTATTACGTTACTACAACTGTAGCACAAATAATTATTCTGAATAGACAATACGTATCACACCAGAAAGGTTTTAAACAGATGAAGGATGCCAACATCTAGTTTTCCAAAACCTGAGAGGTGTCTCTAACATATCCTAAGTTCGGTGCATCATCGGCATGAATAAAGCGCCTCGAAAAACTTGTCACCTTCCACCCCGATTGATAACGTACAGTTGTTTTCTCCTATACGAGACTACAAGCAAGCCCCCACAGGGCCAACCCCACGCTGGAGCAGATAACCGGTCTTTCCCCAACTCCCAGACCCCAGGAAAGCTGCCTTAGTCTGAAACTTAGGCGCCGCTGAGAACCGACAAGGCACTTCTCCCCAAAGCAGGGGAAAGAGGCTTGCGGCGGGGACCGAGAAATACGCCCAGGGAGAAGTGCGGCCCTCACACCCTAGGCAACAGCACCAGCTACAACTCACTGCAGGAGACGAGAGTAAAACTCCTCGGCAGCTCGGTTCATTCGGGACCACATCACGCCCCAGTTTGACTGCAGATCCGAGACCGCCAAACTGAACTGCGCGCCTGCTGCTGACGTCCGGGGTCATGACCCCCTCGCCGGGACTACGTTTACACCCCCCCAACATCCGACAGGCCCCGTTTGTCCACAACGTTAATCTTTTGTTTTAGAGCACACAGCGTTTTTTTTCCGTCCCAGCAGTTTTCCATTCCCGTAAGAAAAATTTAAATAAATTGCAGTGGTTGGGGGGGGGGGGGGGGAAAAGGCACCTCGTCTCGCGAGAGTTGCCACGCCTCCTTAGGGATTATTCCACGAAAAGGAGTCCCTTGTATCTAAGCGCTTTTGTTGGCTTTTAAAGCCAGTAGGTACCGTAATTTGATGCATGTAAAGAAATAACACGCTATTTATTATTTTTATAGAGTGGTAAAGCGATATTTTGTGTCTCTGGATTGGTTCTGAGGCGGGGCAGGTTGGCGGACGAGTTGAAGGTTACATATAGAGCGGAAGTGCTAGGCACTTCCTTTTCCTGTAGGAGCCGCCGGGTTGAGAGGAGCGTGTCCCTCTCCTCTCCCCGCGATGGTGAGTGGAAGCTCTGTCTGGTAGGCCTTTCCCCGCTCTCGGGTCCCGGCAGGAATGGGTTAGGGGTTTGGGGCATAAAATCTTCAGGAGAGAAAGCGAGGAAAATGGGATGAGGGTCAAAGGCGTCTGTGTGTGGCTCGGAGCTGGGTAGTGCGGCTTTACGGCAGCCATTTTAGAGGCAACGTGGGCGTCCCAGCACAGGGCGACACCAGATCGTTCTTAAGTGCAGAGGAACCTTTGGGATTCTAGTTTTCCTTGGATCGTATAAGGCATGGGTTCTACTGACAACTTGGAAACTCTTGGGGCCTAAGGCTGAATCGGGGTGAAAATCAATTTTGGGCCTTGTATTTTCACATGCTGTTAAATAAGGAATATTTTCGTGTTTCGAGAGAGATCTTGGGAAAGACTTGTATGTGCACGTTTTTCTGAATTCTCGTCTGTGTTCATCTAAGAATCGCCTCTACAAAAGCTTCTCTTTAAAAATTGCTGTTAGGTGTCCCCTAAATCGTCGAAATCTTATCTCGTGGTAAGACTAATGTCACTTGCACTGCATTTACACAAATAATGTTTGTTACATGTGTTGTGTAGTGTTTTTGTGTCCTGGGGAGTTCAGTGAGAAAAAAAGACAAACACTTGTGATGCTTGGATCATAATTTGAACAAAATAACACCGAAATACTGTATGGTAGTAATTGCTGTTAACATGGGGAATGGGAGTGGAGGCAGTAGTTGGGCCTTAAAGTGATCAGAGAAACTTTCCAGAAGGTGGTCTGAAGGAGTGTGAGGAGGCATGCTGAGGCCCTTCAGGATGAAGACAACGGTCACTGCGGCAGAAGGGGGTATGGCCCTGAGTGTAAGAACAGTGATGTCTGGAAAAGATTGTGGGAGAGGAGGTCTAGCAGATTATATGGGCCATCCTCAAAACTTTAGTAGGTTTATTTTCAGATGGTAAGTCTTTGGAGGAGGTTGAGCAAAAAGTAATATGACCAGTATTTTTGTTGGTAAGTTTCATGAGCTGTGTTCGGGATGAAGGGGGCCAAAGGCAGAAATCTGAGGTAGAGCTGTGGTAGACCAGATTTCTGACAGTTGGTAAAAGTTCAGATGGTGGCATTAAATAGCATTTTAAAACCTTACAGTATACTTTCGATCATTTTCTTTTGTACGGCCTGGGTTGAAAGTTGATTGATAAATTTTGTGGTGGATTTTGAGGTTCTAAATGTCTTTTAAGTATAAGAATTTATTGAAGTTAATAAACATGGTGTGTTGGTAACAGCCTTTGTTTCAGCCCTAAGCGTTGTCTATCTACCCAAATTCAAATCTCATCTGTAACTCAGTCTTTAAAGTTACTGTTGAGGGGCGCCTGGGTGGCTCAGTTGGTTAAGCGACTGCCTTCAGCTCAGGTCATGATCCTGGAGTCCTGGGATCCAGACCCACATCGGACTCCCTGCTTGGAGTCCGCTTCTCCCACTGACCCTCCTCCCTCATGCTCTCAGTCTCTCTCTCAAATAAATAAATAAAATCTTTAAAAATAAATAAAGGTACTGTTGATATGTGGGCATAGTGTCTCTGACATTGTCAACATAAGTATTTTTTTCTTTTTCCCAGGCGTGTGCTCGTCCATTGATATCTGTGTACTCCGAAAAGGGGGAATCATCTGGCAAAAATGTTACTTTGCCTGCTGTGTTCAAGGCTCCCATTCGACCTGATATTGTGAACTTTGTTCACACCAACTTGCGCAAAAACAACAGACAGCCGTATGCTGTCAGTGAATTGGCAGGTATGGATTTTTCAAGGGTTGATATTTTTTAATACCTACTTAACAGCAGTGATGAAATTCCACTTCATTGGTCCGTGTTTCTGAATCAGCATGATTTTCCTGGATGTTCTGATGCTGTTGCTATCTTGCATGACAGTCCTACGTTGATAGATGGTTGAGTATAGCTAAAATTTGTATTTCTTCCCAATTGCAGGTCATCAAACCAGTGCTGAGTCTTGGGGTACTGGCAGAGCTGTGGCTCGAATTCCCAGAGTTCGAGGCGGAGGGACTCACCGTTCTGGCCAGGGTGCTTTTGGAAAT